CCCCCACCATGCCCGTCTTCCACAGGTACGTTAACGGCCCCCCCCCCACCATGCCCGTCTTCCACAGGTACGTTAACGGGCCGCCCTCCTTCCCCTCCACCATGCCCGTATTCCACAGGTACGTTAATATATTTCATTTATATTACTCATCACAGTCATTAACATAGTTTTTTTATTACTATTGACAGGCATTAACATACTTTGGGTTTATTAATTATGACTGTCATTAACATAGTTTAAATTTGTTACTTATGGCAATCCATTTCAGTTATTAAAGATCGAGGCTTATTTTTTGCATTCATTTAGAAGAGTACCCGAGCTAATCAGAAAACGGTGTAGAAAATACGGAGGAAAGAAAGTTTTTCATGGCTAACTCTAGAGAAAATGTTTGTGGTCGAGTGAAGCTTGATTTCTTTTTCTTCTATAAAAATACAATCAAAGACCAGAGAAGTAATTTTAGTAACTATTTTCTCGATCCTTTTTTTAACTGAAATTTTCAATATATTTACGCCATTTCTGATAACATTATTTATCAAGTTATTAAAGATGGAATATTAAATTTTGATAAAAATAATTAAACGAAATTAGGTCACTTGGAGACCACACAATTTTTGTGTGGCAGAACAGAATTATGGTATTCAATTGTATATGTACCCAGATTTATAGTATTTAATTGTGTATGTACAATTGTATAGATTACATGATTGATAATTAAGTCATACAATTATAGATAATTGTATGATTAAATGTATAGATACAAAAATTAATTAATTTAAATTATCAGAGAGTCTCTAAAGTCATGAGATGACGTTTCTTATTCATGTTGTATAACTTTATAAATCTGATTGTGTACGTATAATTGTGTAGAAATATTTATACAGAGTGATTTATTAACTATATGATGCCTCGACTTATACCCCTGTCCCCCACTATAACCAGAGCTGGGCAGCGCTACTTTGAAATGTAGCGGTCGCTACCGCTACATTGTTTTACATGTAGCGGCCGCTACCGCTACATTGTTTTACATGTAGCGCCGCTACCGCTACTGAAAATGTAGCGGCCGCTACATGTAGCGCGCTACTGCCCACCTCGACTATAACCCCCTGTCCCCCATTACCCCACTTTAACCCCCTGTCCCCCACTACCCCCACAATAACCCCCTGTCCCCCACTACCTTCACTATAACTCCCCTGGTCCCCCACTTTAACCCCCTGGTCCCCCACAGCGACGCGTCGAAGGTCTCCTCAAAGGGCCTGGGCTTGAAGAAGGCCCACCCCGGCAGACAGAACAACTTCACCATCAACGCCTCCCAGGCTGGTGAGTGGGCTGAGTGGGCTGGGTGTTCTGAGTGGGCGGAATGGTGTGGGTGGAGAGTCTAGCGAGTGGGCTGGGTGGTGAGTGGGCTGGGTGGGGCGGGTGGGCTAAGTGGGCCGGATGGAGTGGGTGGTGAGTGGACCGAGCGGGCTACCTGGTAAGTGGGCCGACTGGGCTGGGTGGTGAGTCTACCGAGTGGGCTGGGTGGTGAGTCTGCCGAGTGGGCTGGGTGGTGAATGGGCCGAGTGGGCTGGGTGGTGAGTGGGCCGAGTGGGCTGGGTGG